GTGGTGGTGGCGGCGGTGCAGGAGGTGGTATGTATCTAGGCGGTGGCGGTGGAGGTGGAGGTGGAGGAGGAGGTGGTGGTGGTGGTGGTGGAGGTGGAGGAGGAGGTGGGGGATAGGAATAACTAGGTTGTGAACTTGGATATCCTTGTTGACCACTTGTTTCCGTTGGTAATGAAAATGGTACACTTGGTCGCTGATAAGAATATCCTGCTTGACGGCTGACGCGCGACCAGCGTGCGCCAGTGCAATTGATCACCAAAAAGATATATATTACCTAAAAATTGTAACAATATTATTTTTGTAATATTTTTTTAAAATTATTTCTGTAATATTTCTTTTATGTTTTAGTGCGTAAATGAGAAATAAAGAAATGATGCTAAAACAACTCACCCATTTTGATAGTGGCATAAGCATTTCGCATATGCTAGCAGTACAACATGACAGTTGCTTTTATACGAGTTGTTTTGCATTATCAGATTTATTTTCTGCATCCTGGCTAAAGACTGCATCTATCTAATAATCTTCTACTAATCCAAATGATAGTTACAACTTAAACCCGTTATTACATCTACCGCGAAATTGTGGGTTTCAAGTAAAGCAATGACAAATTTTCTTTTTATCTCTTGCAAGAGGTTCACAGACGTGTCGAAATAAAACTTCTGGTTAGTTAGAATTAAAATAACTATAACTCAAATATGTGTAATATCGTGAATATGTTCTCATTCTTCATTCATTATAATAAAAAATCATATTAATGATAATATATATTTAACATAATAAAATATTTCTTTTATATTCCTTAAAATCTGTCGTATACTTTTTTCTTTTTAACGTTATTACACGTTATCACAAAGAAACATAAGAAACATCTCTCGCGTTGCACAGCTATAATCATTTATTGCAACTATACATTCCAATTATAAGACAAATAGTAAATTAGTATGTGCACTAAATGAGAGAAAAACGCTATGATGAAAATAGAATTATCTTGAAAATGGAAGATGCAAAGTTACAAGATTGTAACATTGCATTGCGTATGTCATTAATATGATTGACATTTTTCCAGAAAATTACATGATTATTTAAACTATATAAAAAATTTTTATATAGTTTTTTCAAATAATATAAAAATATCATAATGATATAAAAATATTATGAAAAGAAATATTAACATATTCAGAAAAAAAATATATATAATATATAAAATATGTAAAACAAAAAATATTGTATTAATTTTATAAAATGTAACTAATAATAATATTTAATAATAATACTTGAAATAACAAAGAAGGAAGTAATTGAAAGGGTAAAAATAAATAATCCATAGCTTTAATTTTTTTCATTTTATTTTTTAAAAATTGCACATGGTAAGTCGCTAACTTATGAGCCAGCCTCAAGTTCAAAATTTAAATTCAGATTCATTTAAAGCTATCAAATATCAAAAAGCAGTGTTCAAGAATTCATGTCAATTAAAAATAATTTTTCTGGTTCAACTACATTTTTAAATTCAACCAACTTTATAATTTAATAATCACGACCCGGTTTGCTTGTGCAATTTACTCAATCGATCAATTTATTAATCAATTTGTCATTAAAAATTTAAAAGATTATTTTTTCATTATTACTCATTCATTATTAACATTTTTACGTTTTCAGAATCACGACTCAGAGCCAAACCCACAAAGGAGTAACACTGTCAAAATTAAAGATATCAGGCTGGCCGACGTGCGAAACGTTGGGGTAAGTTGTCGACCACTGGAAGGATTGCGTGGAATTAATTGTGATAGGACCGGAAATGGCCTCGAAACTTTCCACACCATTAGTATCAGCCACTATGATCTTCGTGTCGATTATGCCGAATGGTTTCAATTCAATTTTCTCCAGATCTTCTTCGTTAATTAAACTCTGTATCTGATTCTCATTCTTAGTGGTAGATTCCTCGTGACTGTATCCTCGCATCAGCCTCCTAAAATGTTCCATTGTAGTGATGTTACTTTGCAATCTTGCGACTAGTTTGTTCTCCGTCACATCGTCGCCATTCTCCTTCTTGCTCCCGTTAATTATCACACTGCTCTCATGAAAGTGATTTTTCGCGATGACGCAAAACACGCCGGTGTTAGCAAATTCCTCGCTGACGTTCGCGATGCGAATAAATTTCGATGTTTGCTCGACATGCCAAACGACGGCGTCGTGCGGCTCCAGAATGACCCATTGCCGCGATACATGAACATCAGTTGGCATTCTAGAATACGGACCGTAACGTATGCGGAACCAGGAATACCCATCCGTTGCTAGTCGATTTGCTACCATCGTTTTTGCAGATGGCATCACCTGTAGAAGAAGGAAGTTGATGAACTAACTTTTAATACGTCCCACTCTAGCAAATGATAGACAATAAGAAACCGATTTAGAATTTGTTTCCACGTGAATTGTTATCTTGTATAAATATCTTTTGATACATACATCAGAACTAAATAATGAACCAAATATCCTTATAAAAATTTAACTTTTTACTAGAAGGTAATGATTAATTATTTATTTTGAGTATCAAAAGTGTTGTTACTCAGTATTTTTAATACATAAAATAAGTAAATTGGTCGATATTAAAATGAATTTCTGTGAGGGAAAGTAAAGAAAATTTCGCTCACGTTAAACTTCGTAATCCAATATTCATGCCCGCTTCGATTATCGCCTGTCAACGCTTGTGTTCCAGCGACGATTAACTCGCGATTCTCTCTTTGGATCAAATAAAATTCATCCTGAGATGATAGAGCACCAGGATAAGATGACATTATGACAGATCTACTCGGCACCAGCGCGGAAGTTTTTGACATTGGTAGAACATGGTAATTAAAGGTGTATTTCTTCAATAGCCTCAGCATGTTAGCGTATCTATAAGAAAAATGTGAGATATGTTCCATAATTAAGAAACGCTTTTATTCATTAATACCATA